CAGCCGACACAGCGACGACGAGCTGACCCGCGAAGGCCTCGACCTTCTTCGGCAGCAGCTGGCGCTGCTGGTCGCCGTGGCCCAACTGGCCTTGCTCCCCCCAGCCCCAGCTCTAGACAGCGCCATTGGCGGTGAGGGCGAGGCTGTGGCACTCTGCAGCCGACACGCTCACAGCACGGAGAGGAGAGGGGAGGAGGGTCGGCGCGTTGAGCCGCGTCACGCCCTCGCCGTGCCCGAGCAGTCCTGGAAGGTCGAACGGCGCGTTGCCGCACGACGACAGCCGCCCCTTGCCGTCGATGAAGAGGCTGTGATACTCGCCCGCAGCCGCCCTCGCCGGCGGGTTGGCCTCGCGCAGGAGCGCGGCAAAGCACAGCCACCGCACGGCACAGCCCTCGCCCGCTGGCGGCGCCGGCAGCTCGAAGCCGCGCTCTTGCGCCCACAAGTGGATGCCGTCCTCCGCGAGCGAGGCGTGGAAGAGCAGCGAGACGGCCGCGGCGCGAGCAATGTCGACGGGGTCGCAGCGAGAGACGACGCGCACGAGGAGGTCCCTGGGGAGGTCGAGCAGGCGGGCGGGCGGCGGCGCGTCTGGCGAGGGCGCGGCGGTGGCGGAGGCGAGGCGGCGCGAGCGGCGGCGCGAAGAATTGGACATCGCGAAGAAAAGAATTAATTTCGCGCCGCGCACGACACTAGACCCCTCCCTCCCTTGGGTTGTCTGTTTTCTTTATTTCTTTCTTTTAGGCACGGGACAGGCGCAAGAAAAGAATTCACGCCCGCATTTTCTTCGACTCGACACTGGCCGGGACGTTACAAGGCGCGACGTCCCACAGATCCCACAGAACACCCTCCTCACTTGGGCATCTTGGGCATTTCGTTTCCTTCTTCTCCGGCCACTTGCCCCGGCCACATGCCCGCGCCGATCTGGTCCAAGGAGACCCTAGCCGAGTTCAAGAAGCATCAAATCTCGAGCGCGCCCGGCTCCGTTCCCCTCAAGCCGGGGGAGGGACCTCTTCCGTATGGCGGCACGGCAAACAACGGGACTTCAGGCAAATCAGTCTTCGGGAAGAGAAAGATTGTGGCGGGCGACAATGATCCTAACCCGCGCGCGCTGATGCTGAACTTTCCCCCCGAGCCGTCCGCTGAAGCCCTCGCGGGGTGGGTGAAGAACTACAAGTCGTCCATTCCAAACAGCACTGGGAAGGGCGATTTTATGACCACCAGCCAATCCCAGTT